TTCAATCGAGAGTTTGATTACCCGCCTTCGAATTGAAGAGGAAGCTCGAAGACAAGATCAGAAAGATGAAGTCTTAGTTGTTTCAAACAACAAAAAGAAATTCGGTGCGGTTCTAAAGCCTACGGGCAAACCTTTAAAGAATCAGAACCGTAATACTGTGAACCGAATTAAGAATGGGAATCCCTCTAGGGCCCCATATACTCCAATTCCTAGGCAGCAACCACCATCCCAGAGAAATGATGCTCCGGTTTTCACTTGCTACAATTGTGGGAAACCGGGTCATATGGCTAAGAAATGTAAGAGCAGGCCTAAATCTGCTACTGGCCCAAATGCACAGGTTAACCTGACTGATGAGCAATTCATTGCTATGATCACTGAAGTCAACATGGTTGATGGAAGTGATGGTTGGTGGATAGACACTGGCGCCTCTCGTCATGTCTGTAATGATCGTGCTATGTTTAAGACATACATGAATACTGAAGATAAGGAAGTGTTGTTGGGAGATGCCCACACCACTAATGTTGCTGGAATTGGAGATGTTGAGCTGAAGTTCACTTCAGGAAAGACTTTGATCTTGAAGGACGTCATACACGTTCCTGAAATTAGGAAGAATCTTGTTTCTGGTTTCCTTTTAAATAAGGCTGGGTTTAGTCAAACTATAGGGGAAGATTTGTACACCATCACTAAGAATGGTATTTTTGTTGGGAAAGGGTACGCCACTGATGGCATGTTTAAATTAAATGTTGATTTGAATAAAATTTGTCCTTCTGTTTATTTTCTACGTGATTTTAATATTTGGCATGCTAGACTTTGTCACGTTAATAAGCGAATTATGTATAATGCAAGCAACTTAGGCCTGATCCCTAAACTGAATGTCAATGATTCAAATAAATGTGAATATTGTACTCAAGCTAAGATAATTAAGACATCACATAAATCAACTCTAAGAGAATCTGATCCCCTAGATCTTATACACTCTGATATATGTGAATTAGACGGAACTTTGACTAGGAACAATAAATGTTATTTTATCACCTTTATTGATGATTGTTCTGATTATACTTATGTATACTTAATGAAGAATAAAAGTGAAGCACTTGATATGTTTAAGTTGTATGTAATTGAAATTGAGAATCAACTCAGTAAGAAGATCAAGAGACTTCGTAGTGATAGGGGAACTGAATATGACTCTGGTCTATTTAATGACTTTTATAAAGAACATGGAATTATACATGAAATGACTGCTCCATATTCTCCTAAAATGAATGGTAAAGCAGAAAGAAAGAATAGAACTCTTACTGAACTTGTTGTTGCAATTATGATGAATTCTGGTGCTGCACCTCACTGGTGGGGGGAAATTTTATTGACTGTTTGCTATGTCCTGAATAGAATCCCCAAGTCAAAATGTAAGATCTCTCCTTACGATATATTAAAGAAAAGACAACCAAACTTGTCTTATTTGAGAACTTGGGGCTCTCTGGCTTATGTCAGAATTCTGAATCCGAAGCGAGTTAAACTCGCTAGTAGAGCATATGAATGTGTTTTCATTGGATATGCAGCAAACAGTAAAGCATATAGGTTTTATGACCTAATAGCAAAAGTGATCATAGAATCAAATGATGCTGAATTCTATGAAGACAAATTTCCCTTCAAATTGAGAAATAGTGGGGGCACACAATCGAATCACACTCCTGTGATAAGAAGCACAAAATGCAAAGACAATATAGAAACAGAACTTCGACGAAGTAAACGAGTAAGATTCACTAAAGACTATGGGCCTGACTATGTGGCTTATAATATAGAAGAAGATCCAATGAATCTTCAAGAAGCCTTGTCTTCTCTGGATGCTGATTTATGGCAAGAGGCTATCAATGATGAGATAGAATCTCTAGAATCCAACAAGACTTGGAACTTAGTAGACTTGCCTCCTGGTTGCAAACCAATTGGTTGTAAATGGGTTTTGAAAAGAAAACTAAAACCTAATGGAACTATTGATAAATACAAGGCTCGCCTTGTTGCCAAGGGTTTTAGACAAAGAGAAAATATAGATTTCTTCGACACATTTTCTCCTGTCACTAGAATTACATCCATTAGGGTACTTATTTCAATAGTTGTTATTTATAACTTAATAGTACACCAAATGGATGTAAAAACAGCTTTTTTAAATGGTGACTTAGAAGAAGAAATCTATATGGAACAACCGGAAGGGTTTGTAATCTATGGACAAGAAAACAAGGTCTGTAAGTTAAATAAGTCGTTGTATGGACTAAAACAAGCTCCTAAGAAATGGCATGAAAAATTTGATAACTTAATGATATCAAGTGGGTACAAAGTGAATGAAAGTGACAAATGCGTTTACTACATTTGATATGAAAGATCTAGGAGAAGCAAATGTGATCCTTGGCATCAAGATCACGAGATCCGAACAAGGAATTTCTTTGGATCAATCACATTATGTGGAGAAGATCTTAAAGAAATATAATTACTTTGAATGTAAACCTGCATGCACACCATATGATCCAAGTGTGAAACTATTTAAGAACACTGAAGAAAGTGTCAGACAATCAGAATATGCGAGCATCATTGGCAGTCTTAGGTATGCCACTGATTGTACTAGACCCGACATTGCATATGTCGTAGGATTGTTATGCAGGTTTACGAGTAGACCGAGTAAAGAGCACTGGAAAGCTATTGAACGAGTCATGAGGTACCTCAAAAGGACCATGGATCTCGGTCTACATTATCAGAAGTTTCTGCTGTACTAGAAGGGTACAGTGATGCAGATTGGAATACTTTGTCAGATGATTCCAAAGCTACTAGTGGCTATATATTTAGCATAGCTGGAGGAGTTGTATCTTGGAAATCAAAGAAACAAACTATTCTAGCTCAGTCCACAATGGAATCTGAGATGATAGCACTAGCCACAGCTAGTGAAGAAGCAAGTTGGTTGGGATGCTTGCTAGCTGAGATCCCTTTATGGGAAAAACCTATGCCAGCTGTGTTGATCCACTGCGATAGTACCGCGGATATTGCAAAAATTGAGAACCGTTATTATAATGGTAAAAGACGTCAAATAAGAAGGAAGCACAACATTGTTAGAGATTGTATCTCTAAAGGAGCTGTAAGAGTGGATCATATACGCACTGATGAAAATTTAGCAGATCCTTTGACGAAAGGATTAGCTAGAGAGAAAGTCCATAATACATCCAAAAGGACGGGACTAATGCCTATAAATAAATGAGTTGCTCATAATGGTAACCCGACCTAGATGACTGGAGATCCCAAGAAATAGGTTCAATGGGTAATAACAAGTTATGAGTAATATGAGATGATCATGCAAGTAAAGCATGAATCCTGAAGTAATAAGAGGATGAGATAATAGAAACTTTTAATGAGATCTATACTCTGTATGAGGGAGTATCTAGGCTACAGGAGTACTCTTGATAGACTCACCTATGTGATTGTGGAACTTAGGCCAGTTCCTATGGAATTACGTGACAGGATTCCTAGAGCCTTCACTAAACCGGGATATACGTGTAGGGTCATTAAAGCACGGGCTATTAGAATACACCTTAAGAAAAGGTTGTGTGCGGGTCTGATGTATGAGATAGAGTTCAAGACAATAATGTCACTCTTATTGAATCAGAATCCTACTTGCTACGCAAAGGTTCAAGTCGTAGACACCTTTGCTTATGCACAATCTTAGAAACGTTTGACGTACTTCTAAAAATCACCTTTTAAATTCAAGTGGGGGATTGTTGGAAATCTTGGTATGATGTAAATATTGGAGTGGGAGTTGGAATATTTTATTGACATTAAATGGGCAATAAATGAGCACAAGTAAGAACTAGTATGGAAGTGAATTTGAAAAGATTCATTTTAGTCCCACATAGGAGGGATCATAAATACTAGTAGTGTATATATATTCCAACTTGGACAATTAGGTTGGGCCCCAAGGGGCACCCCAATTTTGTAAAGGAGTGAGGACACACCCATAAGTCATCTAGACACACGCGCGCGCGCCGTCGCCGCTGTCCGTCCGTCCGACCGGCCGGTTCGGTCCGGTCTAGATGAATTAATCTTTTTTGAACCGAATTAGTTGAAATTAATTAATTAATACTAATATTATTATTAATTAATTAATAGATGGTGATGTGTCCTGCACAAAAGACCAAGTCTTAACCTAATTATTGACTGGTTTTGCTTGCCCTCCAAGAGTCCGTTAAATTAAGTTGTTTCGGTTCATTTGGGCAGTTCCAGAATTCACTACTACAATTCTCTCTTCTCTCTCATTACTCCCTTCATCTATATTTTTCTTCTCTCTTATTTTCGACTGGATCACTTCGTATCCAGATACTAAGACTGGTTAACTACCATTCGAAGGTGTCATTTTACGAACGACTAATTATAGTGCAAGTAATTGTCGTAATTTGAACGGGCTGTTTTATCCTGAAGGCGTCGTCGAAACTCGACTGCTTTGCATTCATATTGGCAGTACGACGAAACGTCTTAAAAAAAGCGACCTAGTACGCGACTCGTCCCAATAGTTTTCCTTTATGCCATTTTCTTTAAATCTGGTTTTTACAATAGATATTAAAATATAATTTTAAACTAAAGAATATAATTGCATTTTTTTTACATAGAACTGTATTTTTTTTAGATGAATAATTTAATGATTGGAATTCACTTAATTAAAGATGTTCATATGAGTTCGAAGAAAAAAAAAACAAGGAACAACATTATTTAAAATGAATAGTAGGTACTATAACACTAATAATCTACCATGAAGACAATAATTACTAGACATAGATAATAAAATCCTCTTTATTTTCTTTAACACCTACAACGAATAATGAAATATAAAAATTAAAACTTTTCACACTCTCAAGTATACATAAAGGAACTCGTAGCAATCTTCAACACAAGATAAGACAGGTCAATTTTGTTTTCAAGAAATCCACAAGTAAATAGAGGAACCATCTAGTTCTCAGTGCTTAAAGATGGCTAACATTGACAACAAGATCGAAACTCCGATCATGGTCATTGAATTGGCAATAAATCCAGCTGCTCCGGCATCAGGACCTGGTGCCGGAGCCAATGAAGGACTAAGATCTTGGGCCGAGGCCACGGTGGTGGCCAAGATGACGACCACAAACAAGAAGGAGAAGAGCTTCAATGTAGTAGCTGATGATGCCATTGAGGAAGTAAAAATAGAGAAAGTTGAAAATGAAAAGAATAGATAATTGTTAATAGAAAGTGAAGTTGTATATACGTTAAGGTGGTGTGAATTATGATTATTAGAATTGAGAGTGTGGAGGAGTATTTATATGTAAGAGGAAAATTGTTTGAATGAGTAAATAGGGTCACATAAAACGTGGACAGCTGGTGCTTGAGAAACAATAATGCTTTTTTGCCGACAAGTTATCATGACTTTTTCTCTATCTCTCTCCTAAATTACTCTCACTCATCTACTTTTCCTCTAATTCTTTAATTTTCTCTCTCTTAAAATATAATTAAAGTTATCAAAATCATGAAAATCCAAAGTCACCTAATCCATTTTCCATATCAATGCGTCTGACCGTTAGATGTTTGCATGTGAGTATGTGCTGTTATGTTTTGTTATAACCAACGTCTATGATTGAAAATTGAGTTGGACTCTTCTTAGAAATAAATCAAAGTTTGGTGAAGATATTTCTATGAAAATTTCAAATAATAGCACTTGATTATTTTGAAGAAGACAAAGTGCTAAGTTAAAAAAAAAAACTATAATTAGGAGTCAAAATATATTGATCCGAGTTAAGCTTTATTAAGTCTGATTTATTAAAATATTTAAAGTCTAAGTTTCATTTGTAATTTGTTAAAATCTTATTTTTAGATTTGAGACTTATTTTTAAATGTCTTATTGATCTATTAGTCTTTTAAAAAGTTTATGTCACTTGAATATATGTAAAGAACTAATTTAATTAATGTTAAATAAATGATAACATGTTTTCTTCATTATGTATTTATCTCGATTTCAGTATATTTTAGTGTCATTCCGTGTATTTTTATTGAGGTATGTTGGTTTTGTGTTTTATATTTCATATACCTATCATTCGGCAACGTTTGCGATGAAAAACAGTGAAAACAACGAAAACGACACAAAGTAGCAAGTTGCATATTGTCATGATTAGTACACAAAGATGTCACACTCGTCATGCCTTAGCCTGGAGTGATCGTCAGTAGCTCAAAAGGAAAGAAGAGGGGTGCGTGCTTGAAGACCATGATGGACAGGACGCAATCCATGCTAATCTTGGATAGACCCTTTTAAATTATTTACTGTTTTTTTTTAAAAAAAATATTAGAGTTTTTCAAATGCGTGGAAATCTTAAAGCCAAAATAAAGACCTTAACCTTATATTGAAAATCAACCACAAATACAACTTACACAATTCACAAATATCACATATTATTCAAAAATAAGACACAAAAAGACACACACTATATTAAATTGATAAGTTGTAAATTACACGAGATGTGTTCTTTACAAGAGTTTAATTATTGTAGGATTCTAACACCGTTACTCTATAGATTTAATCAACACTAAAATTCAATTAGGTTCCAATTCTAACAAAACCTAAATTGATGCAATAAATCGCTACCAACGGGAATTAACGATAAACTATACTAAGAAATGATAATCTGGACATACAATAACCTACGAAAATTAAAATAAGAGAGAGAGAGAGAGAGAGAGAGAGAGAGAGAGAGAGAGAGAGAGAGAGAGAGAGAGAGAGAAGGGGGGATAGAGAGATAAAGAGAGTACATCGAGATGTATAATGGTTTGGCTCCATCGTCCTTGCAAGAGCCTACTTCATTCTCTAATGGTTTCCCATTGAAGGTATATCTTCCAATATGTTTTGACAAATATTACACGAGTTCATACAATCATTAATCCATAATAATGCTTAGAAAAATAAATCTCTTATCCGAGTCTTGATTTTTATACATCTTAATGCCAAACTCATCTGTAAAATCTTACTCGATTCCCGCTTCTTGAATCTTTCAGATTCACCAATCTGCTCTAAGTCTTCGTATGTTGAAATCACCCTTGATCACTCAGATTTCTTGAGCGCTGAATTGTCTGAAGATTGAGAAAAACTCTTATCCTCTATGTAGGCTTCCACACAATATTTCCAAGGTCAATCTGGAGAAAATAGCCTCTTTCTTTTCACTAAAGTTTGTCACTATCAGTCACAACAACTGCAATCTTGCAAGCTTCTTGAAAATCTTTATCAAACCTTCAAGAATGGTTAGTTTAAAGACATGTCTCCATCTACAATTACAAATCTCCATAACCAAGATTTGAAATCAAAACTAGAGATTGAAGATGAAAGAAATAATGTTTGCAAGAGATTTTGAGTTTTTAAAATGAGAGGTTATTGATTTCACAATGTTAAGACGATACCGATCTTGTGAACTTTTCCCAAGTCTCCATAACTAACCTCATATTAATCTATAACCCAAAACTTTCAAAAAGATGCATATTTTTTTATTTTTTTTATAACTGAAAATAAAATAACGAACAAAAGCAAAGAAAACAAAACAAATAAATAATTCTCTCCCCCACACATAAAACACACATTGTCCTCATTGAAAGAAACAAGCATAAAATAAGAGAGAGGAGAGAGAGGAAAGAACATACCCGAGAAGTCAAGGCAGATAGATGATCGCATAAGTAGCCTTTCCCAACGATAGCACTTTTATAGTTTCCTCTTCCAACGTGGGACTCTCATGGAATAGCTTGAGGCGTGTCCTTTGACTTTGCAATTTTTATCAGTACCTTCACTTTTTATTCCTGGATTAAATAATGTTCTTCCAAAAGTAAAAGTGTCAAATAGGCACGTGAACGTGATCTCATCTTTCACAACATCAAGGATCAAAAGGTTACAGTGTTGCCTCACTGCTTTTGCTACATCTTCAAGTGAGATCCCATGCATGCACATGGACGGACTAATATCATAAATATCATCTAAGGTCCATCCAATTCCTTTCTTATGCTTCTTCAAAACCTGCAAAAATTTACTTTCTTGATCAAAATAAAGTTTAGAAGAAATTATAACCGTGAGTTTTTTATTCATCTCTAGATTAGCATAATTAAGATTTTCAGGAATTAGTTTCAGCTCTCGAAAAGGTGGTTGTTTAATGGATGGTTTATTTCGGGCAGCCGGAGTATCGAGAGCTTCTTCCACATGAACAACTTCATTTGCAACCTCATATGCAGTAAGAATATCAACTTGCAAGGCGGCCTCAATTTCAGCACAAACAGAGCAAATTTTAATATCAGTACAAACATCACAAGAGTAAACATCATTAAAATTAGATAATGATGGAAAATCAGGTGCAAATAAATCAGTACAAGTATCATCAACAGTCTCAGAAAGCAACTCTATTGGAAAAACAGAATTCTCTTCCAAGGGTTGTTGGTTAGATCCTTGAGTTTGTTGCATGATATTCATCAAAGAGGCAAGTTGTTCAATCTGTGTTTGCAAAGTCTGGAGAGTAGAATCTATTTGTTGTTCATACTGGAGATTATTTGCAGCCATTTGTTTGACAATGTCCTCTAGCAAAGGTCCAGAAGGTTCTGAGCACACAACCTGGAATTCCTTTAGATGCTTATTCGGATCCTCACCTGTAAGACTATTAAGCTTTGACAACAAGTGTATTAAATCAGATTTGGATTCAAAAGGTGTATCAGTGATTCGAGTCATGTACACATTGGGATTCAAATCACAGTGTTGCATGATTTGAATCATGTGTAAACTATAATTCGAGTCATAAACACCATAATCTTGTTGTCTCCTTTGTTTGATTTGATTCGAGTCATGGATTGTGAGTGACTCGAGTCATGCACAAGAAATTTCAATTTTTTAAGTTTTTCAAAATAGTTTGAGATTTCACTTCCCATACAACTTAAACCAACTTCAAATATGACTCTTGTTCCATTAACTCAAGCAATTAACTGAAAACATATTGATCATACTCAAATATAAAATCCACTTCTGCATTCTAAAACGAATGATAAGCAATTGTGAGGATAAACAATAAACAAAAAAAAAAAGACAAGACAAACAACAAAACCGTATTGAGGTTCTCCTCCTAAATATGTTAGAGTGAGGATACTCAATAAACAATAATAAACAAAAAAAAATGACAAGACAAACAACAAAACCTTATTGAGGTTCTCCTCCTTTCATGAGGTACACTCTTATAAATATAGCCACGGTTCCGCAACTAGTTTCAGCACTTCCCTCACTTTCTCCCTTTTTTTTGCACGGTTTATGGCCACATTGGGGTGAAAAACCTAGTCTAAATAGGGTCTGTAACATCAGAATGAGACATCCAAGCTTACTTACAACATTAAATTCACTAGTATAGAACATAAAGATCCTACGTTGTGGCGTTTATGCATTTTTAGAAGTTGTTGCTGCTGCATTTTAGTTCCAGCTTTGTTATTTTATTATTTTATTGTTGTACCAAATCAAAGTCTCCCTTTGGATAAATTATTTTGTGCAAGCTTCAGTCTTTAATTAAATTCTAAGTCCTTTACTTTGCTGCATTTTTTTACTATGTCTTCACAAAAGTATTTTGTTTATGTTTATTCAATATGTTTAAGTCTGAAAGGTGGACCGTCATACCGACAAAACTCATAAGTTACATGTGTATTAAATTGTAACGAGAATAATTTTTATGTTTCAAAAATTTGAAAAAGTGAAAATGGTATTGGACTTAATAAATTCAAAATTTTAGTTAGTAAATAACTAAATTTTTTTTAATTATGTATGAATTTAGTGTATTTGAATTTTAATGGAATGATTTAATATGCTATCTAAATGTAACAAATACCAAGATATTATTTTCTCCACATAAGGTAAGTTCGTTCAACCCATTTGTATTTTATCTCAACTAACCATTGTTTCGAAAACACTATAATATTTGGGTCTGCACACAAGGCCCAATAACATAGAAGCATAATAATGGTAAATGGTCGTGTTCGGTGTAGAACAGGTGGGTTCCTTTTCTCCCCTAAGTGGGTAAACTCTCCCAGGAATCTCATCATAGTTGTCTAGATCTATCTGACGACTAGCCATATCTCAAGCCTCACACACGCGTTCAATTGCTAATGAACACCCCTATTTAAAGAAGGGATCACACTATTTCTCAAGTATTCAAATTCATGTCCTTTCAAACTTTGTTTCTCACTC